ATACTTAATATGTAATCAATTAATAATGACCTCATTTTAATGAACACAAAAATTAATCAAAATTATAAATCTTGTAATTTTAGGAGAAAAACATCACAAACAGTGGTCTAAAATATAGACATAATTTACCAGAATGTGCGGCTCAACAGGTTTGTAAACTTATTAGAAAAACACATAAAAATAACCAAATGTTTGAATTAAAGGTTTGCAACGCTCTATTCGTTCGCATGAATTACACACAACCCCTTTGCCAGTGCTCTGAGAACTTCAATTGGGAGTGCAGTGGAGATTCAGCGCTAGACGACGGACACACCATTGAGTTAACCCGAAGATATGATAAAAAGGTGCCAAACAATACCCCATTAGTGCATTTACCACATTTGTTTGCATTACCGCTATAACAAGTATATGGTTTAATGGTTACACAGGTGTACACTCAGGTAAAGCTATGCGAACCCCTGATGAGCGTCCGGGTGTGCAAAGCGCCCACCGATTGGACTCTATTGGCCCTACAGAGCGAACGCAGTGGTAAAGCTCACTATGTTATGGTGTGTCGGTGTCCCGATTCGGCTCAGTTCGAAGGCCCCTATACTCACAATCACCCGCCCTATGCCAGAGTGGCCGGAATCAGAGTTTACGGTCAGTACTAAACATACATTTGTATTCTCGTATTCATAAGCTGTCAATGCATTCAATATCCCATTCATTCTCTAGGAATGCTCTGCAATCAAGCCGTCAAAAAGGCACGACTGTTCAGCTCAACAAAAATCGGTATTTAATTCAATCGTATGTTTTGTATAAATATTAAAAATGAATATTTTATTTTCCACAACAAAAGTGACCAAAGAAGACACAGATTTACCCGCATTTCCATGGGATTTGGCTTATGCTGTACTCAATTCAACTAATGTTGATGGCTTGTGGTAACCAATTGAATGGTTAACGCAGAAAATACAGCAAACTATTTATTGGAGTCTTATTTATTTCTAACAATTGATTTCAATTCCTCTTAATTAGAATCACTGATAATATTGTAATACAGAAGAAATGTAATTAAAATTATTATAACTTTCCATACCGGTAATAAATAAATTATAGTTCAAAATAAGTTATTTGAGTAAATAATAATCAATTTTCATAACAAATAAAACTTTTAAAATGAAAATGAATCGAAAGATTGCAATAAAAGATTGGTTAACAAATGAAGTCATGATTAAATGTAATGAACACTTACCTAAGGCATCGTTATCTACTTGTATAGAGCATGAAAACATTGCTGCCATTAAGCGCTGGGGCTGAGCCTGAAAACTCCTTCGGCAACATTCCTTCACTGTTGACATGATTTGACCACTATTTAGGTCTAAGTTATCGCTAGAAACGGCCCACTCTTCAGCTATAAAGCAAACACTCATAAGCGGTTCATCACAGAGCGGTCCGGCGAGAGTCGCCAATTGGAAACCACTGACAAAACTATTTTCATATTGGTTTCTAATTTCGTTATCCTTTGACAATATTTGTTGCAAAACATTATTATCTTTTTGGGCAAAACATGAATTAAAACCATTAAAATCTGGAATTCTACTCAGCAATAGATTAGTTCCACAATATTTTGGACCAATTGACCAAATCTGGTCGACTGTCTCTTCGGGCCATTTCGCCTCAATAAACGCTGTCTTCAAACGCGAGCGTAACTCTTGGATCGAATTCAATGTCTTTTCAGTTATCTGTTCGCAAAATTCCGCTGATTTTCGTTGAGTTCTTGTAATTATTTTCAAAAGACTGGTGTTTTGTTCTAATAGTTTACATACTTCTTGTGGCAATGGTTTGGCAATAAACCTAATTTTGGACTTTTTATTCACAGTATATAATTCAATGCGTCCGTCAGTTGTGTTTGAAGTGCCGGAAGCGGGTCTTTGAGCGGAAATAAGTTCGTTAGTCATGTCTAACTTCGGCGGTTCCACTATTGTCTCTCTGAAGGGCACTATCGGTTCCGAACAGTTTATATCGATGGACGAGAATTGGGTCAAGTCTGTGATACAACGTTGCAGATGCACTTCACCGGTGGTAACGATCACATGTTCGCCTGTCTCTTGAATTTTCACGTCAACACATGGATCCGATTGGTTAAGCATTTTCAACGCATTTACAAGTTTTGGCATTTCTGATGGATTCTGTGGTTCTAACGCCACACGAAGTATAGGAATACTTGTAGTTAAATGTAAGTCTATAAATGGTGGACAGTATATAGTGCTGGAAAGGGTTCCCGATTTTAATATGTGATTCTCAAGGCCTCCGATTCCTAATATATTTCCGGCACAAACTTCGTTAGCGCTCTCGAGTTCTCTTCCCATCAAAATATATAAGTCTTTTATTTGACATTTAGTGATGTGTTGATCGGAAGACAATTCACTAACCGTTAAATTGGAATCAATTTCTATATTGTCATCAATTTTGTTGGGATTATGTTTGGGACCCAAAACATAGACTGTATCACCACTTCTAATACTTCCACTAAATACTCGCGCGAATGCTATGAAAACCTTGTCGTTATCGTCCATCTGCTTATTATTTTCGTCATTGGTTTCAGTTATCTCTATATTATCCTCTTTTTGGGCATTTGTTTCCAATTTATTGTCAGATTTCTCTTCTAATTCTTTAAGTTTGCGACGATTTATAATCTCCTCTTGAGTCAGAGCTCTTTGTCTATTTTGTGGCAAAAATTTCTTCTCAAATGGAAACAGTTTAGAGACACAGACAATAAGAGTCGAGTTTCTATTTGGAGAGCATTTCATAAAATCCTCTTTTAATGCCTGAGTTTTTTTGGGTAAACTATCAAATCGTATAGTATTAGAACACATCAGGTTTTCCACACGTTCTTCGCTGATCTTCAAAGGACTCGGAATTATATGACAAACCATTTTAAGGACAGCACTTGATATGGGAAACCATTGCGTAAATATAGTG